AGTATCCCAGCGCTGGTTTAATAAAAAGTCCTCCCTCCCTAGATTAACAATATATAAACGTTCATAAACATTTTCGTACACTCGTAACATCATTGCTTATAATGAATTGCAAATTTTGCCCGATATCGGACGGTGGATTTTGACTTAGAAATTATGCTCAACCAACCAGTTTTCGTATTGGTCATCAGCAGCTATTCCTGATGATCTATCCAATGGCTGGTACATGCTATCTTTAAGAGACTTTATTTCTAGAGGTTGGTATGCAGGCTCAGATGTGGGCCCATGTACAAGTTCTTCGTTTTTGCTGCATTCGTTTGGCTTGTRATCTGATGAGGTGATGTTGTCTTTGTTAGGTTGACTAGTATTCACTATGGCAAGAAACAAATATAATCTTAAAGTGATGAAATACTGTCTGATGCAGAGTGCATAGCACGAAACTCGGAGTAACAGCAAATCTTGCCTCTTCGTTATTATATATAATCTTAAAGTGATAAATGAATGTATTGGCAATAAAAAGAAAAAAAAACGAACAAACACAATAGCAACAACAAAACAAAAACAAAGAAAAAAACACTTAATTTTTTGGAAGTATTCGCATTATGGCAAGCGGTTGATAAGTTTTACCAACTCTGAAAATCCCCGGATCTCAGGTTTTCACCGCGATCTGCCCGGTCCACGCTATCCTGCAGCTAGGCTGCGAGCAAAGTTGCATAAAATACAAATAAAAAAATAAAAAAATAAAAATGCTATTTACCGGCTATAGGTCGGTCCGTATAGGAATACACTGCCCTCGGTCTTTTATGTAACTGACSTTGCTGCGCCCGTTCCGTACTGTCAAGACCTCGGGCAGTGTTTTCCTATACGGACCTCCCAGCCGGTAAATAACATATGTATAGTTCGTTTCAGTGGTGATCAGCAGGATCAGTTTGATTATTCAGCGCCAACCTGAGTCTGGGATTGCACGCTGGCGTGTTCCTTGTACTCTGTTCTGACTGGAAATTGGAACAGAAGAAGGATAATCATACTCAAATGTGTCTGGGATTGAACGCTGTTGCATTTCGTTCGAAGCGTTATTAGTGGAACGAGCTTGTAGATCGCCATCCATATCAGCATAATCGTACTCGTGAGTAGAATCACCTTATATGGAAAAAATATGTAATTATAGTAAAATTGTTAGTTTCATAGAATATATATTAGCAATCGAAATACTTGTAATTGTATTGCATATAATTACTATAGTTAGCAATAGTTTTATAGGCTATTCAAAAAAACAAGGCAGCCTTGCGAAAATTTGATTTTTAAGATTTTTTGGGCTTGAATTTTCTCATACTAGCCTTGTGTAAGCAACCGATTTTAAGAACTCATTGTCAGTTATCGATTGTCAAGCTCGCGCGARAAGCAGTTGAGGTTCTATTGAATTCAGTTATACGTTGGAAGAAGCAWATATAACTTACTGGAATTTTGATTTGTGTTGCTTCTTTGCCTGCCAAAAAAAAATAGGAAAGGGTAATATATACTTGTGGGGACTCATGAATGGGGTATGTTCGTCCTCTCTTTAAGAAGCATATTCTCACATCTCAGGCGAATATCGCCATCCTCTTTTGAAAAGGGAGTGCTCACTCCGGATTTAATATTTCACTCTCGTTTGCATATATTCATTGCAAAATTTGCTAATCATGCAAATAGGTAACAGTTTGCTTCTTGTAAGAAATGACAGGTTTTAACGGGTAATTTGGGAACTTTACTTAATATCCCTATTTTATATCAAACGGAACAGATCCAGAGAAAAATGTGCCAATGATCACTTGATTTTCTATTTTCTGTCTCTTTCCTTTCTTGCTCACATAAATGCTCTGGAATTCTTTAAACATCCCAGTTAGAGTTCAGAGATTTTCAGCATTCTACTTACCTAGATTTCTGTTGTCGCTTTCTGTAGAGTAAGACCAGTACGACAATGAGTATAACTGCAATCACAGCAATGACGGATCCAACGATGATTCCAGTATACTTGTCAGACGATGACCCTTTCTTTGGCTTAGAGTTATTAGAGATGGTTGTAGTCTTACTCTGGGTAAGTAAAAAATATTGAACATCATAAACTCCAATATACCGCAGGAACGTCGTACAAAACAAAACAAAATTCACTTAATAATATACCRCAAATAGACTKKTGTAGACTAATACTTCGTCGTGTTATCTCATTGGTAACGCTTCCACGAAAAGGTAATGATGRCGGCGCTGCYGAGAAATGTGAAGCATACTTTTCTTCCTTATWAAATTATTGCCTATTTTTATGTCGTGATTCTCAGCCGATGGTATGCTATAGAATGCATTACCTCTTAATAGAAGCATATGACTGGAATTATCCATTTCAGACTTTTCAGCCATCAATGAAAGCTGAAGGTAACTGGAATATACTTACATTTACTGTAGTTTCTGGTGGTGTCAGTGTTGATTGAGGTGATTTATCGTAGTTAGTGGTTGTATTTACTAATACACCTAGGGAGAAAAAAGAAAGTAGTGAAATAGCTCAAGAGCTACTAGGAAATTGCCAGAAAAGTTACTTGAGGGGTGATTCACTGCGCAATGGCGTTGCAAGTTGTTGCAATTCGTTGCAAAAAGTACAGCAGAGTTCTACTTCTTAAAATTTGTTAAAACAAAAAGGCAATTACAAAAATGAAAACAATAATCAATATACTAGCCAATTACCGGGAAATTACATACAATTTATTTTTCCTTTCAGTTTCAGAGCCACACACTGAGATGGAGACCAGGTGATACCACTGCATTCGATAGGAATTCTGATGAGGTTACCAGTTAAAACATTTTTTCGTTGCGGTGGGTCGATGAACTTAAAAAATGCAGACCATATTAAGTCCCAGTTAGTGCATATTTGAATGACTTAAGCCCTGTTTACATGAGATAGGGTTCTCCTAGGTAGTTCAGCCAAACATTTTCTATTCAAAAATAGCGCCATAAACTTGAGGCGCAAATAAACGCGCCAACAAAGGAAGAAACTTCAAAGCGAGTGACCGCTTTTTTAGTTTTTATTTTAGTTTCTCATGTGCAGAGGTTACCAAAATGATCTAGTTAAACCGTGATTCGAAAAAAATTCCCTTTGTTCTCTGTTGTGTACTAAAACAGCGGTCGTTTGCATTCAACGAGAAAAATGTTTATTGATAAAGAAAGGCAAAGAAAAGATAATAGTGAAAGTCATGTGTATAACTTACCGGACCAACGTAAAGAAATTGCCCTGATAACGCCAATACTAAAACGTCTTTAAAATTCTGCTCGTTTAGTTGGCCCCAGGTTCCATCGCACTTCAAGAACGTGGCATTGTTCTTAACGAAATTGCAGCTTTTACCTCTTGGAATACCTCTGACAAAGTTGATATCTCTAGCAGGACCAAGAACTGGTAAGGTATATAATGGAGCGTCCTGTAAATGGCCGCTATAGAAACTATGTAAGTAGTACGAGCAGCCTGAAATAGATATATTAACCAAATGAATTTACTTTGTCACGCAAAGAAATTAACTGTAGGACATAGAACATTTCTTTAGAGTCTAACTCCTCTTACTAGCCATAAACATTTAGTTTGGGATCATGGTGAGAGCATAGACATCATTACAGGCTATCTAGATCATCAGCACAAGCAAATATACATTTTCAAGCAATACATTGTTAGAAATATGCAATTAAATTTCTGTTAATAGGCGATTTGCACGGACAATGGCGTCATATACTGTCAAGAATTCTGTGCTTGTTTGGTTGTGTAGCTTATCCCAAAACAGAATACCTTTCGTATTTTCATTGCCATTCAGATTTGTAAACTTTTAAGGTTAGTAGAGCAATTGGCATTAATTGCATGAAAGAAAGTGCGCAAAGCATTCTGGTCTTGGTAGTATGTGACGTATATGACGTCAGCTATCTTTATACTTCAATTAATACCATGAAGCATTTCACCAAAACAAGCATGACGTCATCAGTGCAAAAGACCATTACAAACAAGACTTACGCATTAAGAAAAACTTTGCGAGCTAAATCCGTGAAACAAAGATACAAAATGGAYCTRTATTGCGCTAATTTATTGTTTTTCATTTTCTAATCAGTGCTGTTTAGTAGTAATTTTTACTATTTGTTCCACAGATTTAGTGCTCCCCTTATTTTACCTTAACGTTCTTTATAGGTCCAATCATAGATATTTTAATATTGTATAATACTATAGAATATTCATATATTAAAACATCTTTGAACGTTGGAATCCTAGAGTACAAACACTAAAACTGTGCAACTTAATTACCACTAAATACTGCTAAATTATGCTAATTCTATTGTTTTTTATTGTTTAATTGGCACTATTTTGTAGTAAATAGTGGAAAGTGCTGCACACATTTAGTATTTG